GACTGGATGGCACTGAACAACAGTGGCGATGGCACAGTGGGTTGAAAGTTGGGCTGGTAACCAACTGTTGGCAACCAGAACCCACAAGCTGTTCCATGAGAGAAAGAAAAGACTGCTGTACATATTTACAGCTTCAGACATCCTGCCGACAGTTCTACTCTGTGCTAGAGGGTAGCGGTGAGTTGCTGGAAGTCGGTCATGAATTTAAAAAAACAAACAAAACTTTTGTAGCTGTGAGAGCCCCCAATAAAATTATTTAAAAAATACTTTTGTTTATTAGCATATATACAGAATAATGTCAAGCACTATGTCCCAAGCCATAGCCAAAAAGAATAAAAACTCACTTGATCCAGTAATTGTAACTTTTCATGTTAAATATTAATAATTCTAGTATTTACAAACATTTGCTATGATTGTTTTATATTAAATTCTTACCTGTGTTTGTATTACATAAGGGAGAAAGGCAGGACTCTCTGCTCCTGTAAAGAGTTACAATCATGGAAACTCACAAGGGCAGTTCTACCCTGCCCTAAAAGGCCGCTATGGATAGGCAACGACTTGATGGCAGTGAGCTTGGTTTTGATATTATATAAAACATATGCTAGATTGTGTCCATATATCTGCCAGACGTATCTTAAAGTTAAAGTGACAAAAAGTGTTTACAAAACTTAGGACAAGTTCTGTACATAAATGCTTACAGTTAATATGTAATTGATTGACGTCATTGCAATGGCCTACTTATTCAAGTTCCCAGTCCTTTCACAGTCATTTAGGATATGCCCACGAGCACACCCTTGTGTTTGTATCATGACAAAGCGCATTGCTGCTCCTCTTGGGTGAAGTTGCTGGGTCAGGTGATGTGAATGAGCAAAGATCGTTTTCTCTAATAGATCGGAGAGCAGTTATCTGTTCATATTCATACAACCCACTCTTGCCCAGTAATCACTCAGGTTTAATCCAGTTGCATACTGGGTGAAGGTTCTTAAGAGTTAGACTTGACAGTTCACTCCCACTTCTTGCTTTTTAGAAAGAAATAGGATATTCCCCTGAGGTCTGTGAAGATATGGAGTTTCAGTTACACCGGAGGGAATTGTGGAAGACAGCTGTCAGTGAAATGTTCATGTGCTAGGGGCCTCCTAGTTCAAACTAACATGTGTGGGACACCTTGTGACCCTACTCGAACTTCATGTTTAGCCAGAAAATTCTCATACACTGGAGCTGACATCAGTCTCACCCAGTACCCTGCCATTTCCCTCCCACTGCAGTATTTGCTTTTCCCTGTGCCCTGTTGCTTGCCATCAGTGGGCCTTTGGATAACTGGAACCCTGGTTTTGTTGATGCCCTGTTCATGTGCTTACTTTGCTTATTGGTTTACTTCATCCCTGTACAAGGATTCGATGTACCTTGCTTGCCTGGTCCCACTTCCACAAGGGTTCCATGTACCGTATTTGCTTTAGAAAAACTGTCCATTCCCCTGGAGAACCATAAGTACCTTATTTGCATAGCCCCACTCAATCATTTTGTGCGAGTCACCAGCCCATGGTTAGAGGAGCCAGATAATGGTAATTCACTACTCCACGGGTGCCAAGGCCCAAATTTAATTAGGAAAATATATACGATCTACAGTATAATGCTAAGAAGGGTGTTACATATAACGAAGCAAAATAAAACAGTATGCTGTCACAAAATGTTAGGTGATTACCGACCCTATGCATTTAGGAATGAAGTCTTAAAACCTGGCTCTGAAAAAGATGGAAAACAAGAGACTTTCAGCTTTCTTACTAGCTTGAATAGTTTAATTTGATTTGATGATATGAGTAAGAATCAATGACTACTTTTAGGTTTTCTATTTTGGGTAAAAGAAAGGTAAGCCACTTTGAAATACTTCTGGTGTTAAATTGCCAGGTAGAGCAATCCCATTAAGAACTACTGTATAAAACATTGGGCTTTTTGTAAAAGAAACTTCAGGCTGTTTTCAATATAGGAAAGTCTCCTAAAGGCTTCATATAAATCAGCTGCTTGCAACTCTGCTGTGCTTATATAGACAAATAAATAACCCGAGTGGGAGTTTTAGTCATCAAATAACAGCCATATGGTTAGATCAGAACCCATTTGCAGGCTAGGAAGGCTGTTGGAAAGACAGGGCCGTGGCAATAGCTAGCCTCTTCCTCTCTCTCCTAATGTATTTGTGCTCGCTTTGACTCAGTCCCAGGTACCCTGATTGCCTGGATGTCTCTGGGAGAGGATGATTGCAGGTCAAGAAGTGGTGATATCCGCCTGAAGAGGAGGAGACAGGGAGGTATTGGCCGGTCTCTTAGGGGCATCCCAAATTAATTAAATGGAAAAAAAAAGCTTCCCAGGTGATTTTCAATGCGCGGCCACGTGGAGAAGCTTAGTCTTGGGTCAGCGGGTCTCTTCAGAGCCCATCTGACACACCTGGAGAGGGTGGTTATGCTTTCAGGGTGCTGGGCCCAAGTGTTTGTGATACAGGCGATGATACATGTAATTTGTATTTGTCACTAGGTTCCTGGGGAATGCTGCTTGGTTCCAGAACCAGTTCGTAGAGCAAATTTGGCTCTTTTATTTATTTTGACTCGAGGAGACATAGACAGGAGTTAAAATTGGTAAAAAAGCTGAAATAAGAACTGGGAACCACTGCGTCATCGCCCCACCTCTTTCCCACACCCCCAAGTCTGTTTCAGATTGAGAAAATAAAGGTTTGGAGGCCTAGTGGCGCTATAGGGTAAGCGCTGAAAGTATTACCTATATATTCTTATAAAGACATACAACCGCAGACACCTTACACAGGAATATAGATCATTAGTTTTGTTTGTTTTTAAATGGGTCCCTTGGATTGCCCAGAGTTGGCCTAACCCTTAGGCCAAAGAAATAAAACACTGCCCCCGACTCCGCTTCGACTTATAGCGAGCCTATAGGGCAAGGTAACGTTTGCCCTCGTTTTTCTGCGGCTGCAAATCTTTTTGGGAGCAGACGGCCTCATCTTTCTCCCAAGCAGAGGCAAGCGGGTTCGAACGGCTGACCTTGAAGCCGAATTCGCCAAATGCGTGGAACCTATTATGAAACAAGCAGTGCTTCCGAATTGGTCCCAAACCAAACCAACAAAACCCCCCAAATTCACTGCCATCAAGTCGATTTCTACTCATGGTGGTCCTATAGCATACAGGGTTTCCAGACCTGGCCAAAGGAGCCCTGGTGGTGTAGCAGGCTAAGCAATGGGCTGCTGACCAAGGTCAGCAGTTCGAAACCACCAGAGGCTCCACAGGAGACAGACCCAGGCTTTCTACTCTTGTAGAGTCACGGCCATCAGAATCTACTTGACGGCAATGAGTGCACACAGTTGACGTCACTAACCTTCCCGCCCCACCCCACCCCCGTGTCCTTCTGCGGCTGCGCAGGCCACGTGCACGTGGCCTTGAAAACGCCCTGCTGCAATGCGTGCTGCGCAGGCGCGAGCCCGGATCCCGCCGGCATGGCTGTGGTCAACCCCGTGGTAAGGACGAGTCTGGCCTCCGGCCTGCGGCTGTGTGGGGAGCAGGCGGGACTCTGCAGTCCTGGCTCCGTGCGGCCGGACCGGGACACCCCTGCCCTGACCCGGGTCGCTCACGGGCTTTCAGAGCGCCCATCTTCCTCACTGCTGTGTTGGAGGCAGCCAAGGGCCAGGGAACCAGACGCTGGGCCTGGCCCCGACTGGAAGAGCAAGAGCCCCCCACCCATCGCCCGCTCAGGTTTTACCCGCATTGAAGGGGCCCCTGGGTGTCGCAGCTCTGCACTCTTGAGGTCTCCGGACTCAACGGCAACTAGCAACAGTTGGGGTTCTTAGCAGGTGACCCAGGAGGGAATCAACCTTTAACCACCCCCCTTTCCTACGAGCCTAGAAAATTCCCAAGTTCAATGGTATCTGCATTCTTATTTTAATATGAGTGTTGAGTCCAAGCCACCTACTGTAATGTACTAACATAAAATAGTGGTTAATGGAATGCTTCATTTCACGTTAACCAACCGCAGATTTTTGTGCCCGGCCCCTAAGTCCCCATAGTTGTATAATTTGAATTTAAAACTAAAAATCAAAACCATCTTTTACCCAGCTGCTACCTAAACTTCCCTGTGAGAATTTATAGGATGCATGGCACCTTAAGAGCCTTCATCAATCTTACAACCTGAATTTAAAAATAAACCGAGGATTCACCTTTATTTTCTGGTTACCTGGACACATTTCACATTTGGTGCAAAGCAGCGGGTCATGCCTGTGTTCTATGTTACGTCTGCCGGTCTAAAAGGGTCTAATTTTAGCGACATTATCCTAATGTGTATCCATTTCTGATGAAGGGGCTTTCAGATAAGTAAGATACAGTTGAATATATATTTTGCTATGCATACCGTTTCATCTGATGGTGAACTCCAACAAGGGGGTGGGTCTCCTTTCAATAAAGAAGGGGTTAAAATAGATTTCCTGAACCAGGCACAATTTTAACAAAGAGACCAGAAAAGAAAAGCTATATAAAGTCTTAACTGTGGTCTTAGAAGAGAAAGCATCTTTGGTACTTATTTTGCCTTTGAAAAATAGTTCTAATGGGTTCTTTCTTGTCCACTGCTATTTTGCTCTGCCAGAGAAAGCTTTTGCTGTCTGCTCCTGTGAAGATTTACAGCCTTGGCAAGCCTATGGGGCAGTTCTGCTCAGTCCTACAGAGCCAGTAGTCTGAGTGAGTTTGGGTTAGCTTTGAGAGCAGATGTAACGATAGCCCTAGGAGTTATCAGGGTAAACTTATCTAGAAGAAGCAACGGATCTAGGGGCAAATAGATATGCTTATGAACATTGTGAACACCTTATCTTATTTAAATATTACTGTTGGCCTATTCCTGGAGTTTCCCTGGATTTTTAGAAGGCCTAATTTAAGACCCAGTAACTGCTCACAGAAGTAGGGATCTTGAAGAGCATTTATGAAGAAGCGGCCTCAGTAGCTAGTTTCGTTTTGGCCTGATTAGGCAACTGGAATTAAGAGCAGCTCAATTAAATTCTTGTTTTGCAATTAAAGTTTTGCTTTGTGTTTTTCATTGGTAACTCCCATTGGATGGATATGACCAGCACACAGCAGTGCCATTTAGGGGCTAGGGGCAGGGAAAGAGCACCGTTTAGACAGATTTGAAGAACTCTATTTAACGTAGACCCTGAGTACAAAGAGAAGAACGTACCCTATTGGGACTATGTTAAATAAATCTGAGTAGAAATTGGTTTAATTTTGTTTGTCATGGTGAGTTTTCCCTAGGAAGGATATCGGGGCATTATGTAGCATATGAAATATGTAGACTGTGGAAGGGTAAATGTTGGTTCAAGCTCGTAGTTTTTGTTAGAAAATCACTTTTGGTGTGTTTGTGCGTTTACTTGATAATACTTTGTGGGGCTCTGTGCATTTGGGAAGTAGAATAAGCTTTAGTTACTCTCCCTCAGGGCCTTGTCTCAGTGGAAATAAGAGAGTGAACCCTACTAACCCCTCCTTTGGACCTTAGGAGGAAAAGGTACATTGAAAACAATAGGCTTATTTCCTGGTGCATTCCATCCTCCTTTGTAAAAGACGTGGTGAGGTTAAATACTGATAGAAAAGCCGTCTACCAACACCGTTAACCACGTGTCTTCTTGCCAGAATGATCTCCGATGTGATTGTCATCCTTTTCCGGTAGCTGGTACGGTGGGTTGGCTGTTCAAACCTACCAGTGGCTCCGCTGGAGAAAGGTGGCCGTCTGCTTCCCTAGAGATTAGAACTTTGAAAGCCCAATAGGGTGGTTCCACTCTGTTCACTACGGAGACCCGTGAGTCGAATTAAACTCTGTGGCAGTGGGTTAAATTGGTATTGCAGAAAGGTCGAGGCTGGAAATTGGAGACTAAAACTGTTTATGGGAAGGAAGCCATGCCGATATTGGGAGTTGGGTGAATTTAGGAAAAATCCTTGTAGTGACTTTTACTTAAACTGAGTATATTTCATGTCTGATGAAGCTAAACGCTTTTAAATTTGAGAATTAAAACCTTTAACAAGTGCTTTTATGTAGCCCAAACTCTACAGATCGGTCATTGAAGATGTAATTGAAAGAGTGCGGAATCTCTTTGCTGAAGAAGGTATAGAGGAACAAGTCTTGAAGGACTTGAAGCAGGTTTGTAGACAATACAAATTAAATTCCTCTTCTCTCTTTGCAGCCTTACAAAGCTGATAACAGTCCCACTTCTTAATTATAGTTTAGGATCTACCCATGCATTGTCAGATGACAATGAAAAAAGCTTTTTAAAAACAGAAATCTCTTGATAATGTTTTATGTTTTAAAAGGAAGCTTTTTTCCCCTCGCTGCAGCTCTGGGAAACCAAGGTTCTACAGTCGAAAGCAACCGAGGACTTCTTCAGGAGCAACGTGCAGTCCTCTCTCTTCACCCTGCAGCTGCCCCACGGCTTACACCAAACGTTGCAAACGTCAACAGGTTGGGCAGTAAATTAGTCCTGTTAGGGTCTTCAGCACCAAGTCATTTGGTGGTGTTTTATCTTA